CCCCAAAACCCCAAAACCCCATAATTATAGATGAACGCGTTTAATGATGAATTATGAAATTAAGATAAAATAATAATCACTTATTTTTTCACTACTTATGAATGTTTACTATTTAGAATGGTTTTAATGCTGTTACTATCCTCTGGCAAGTCAATCATCGTCTTCCTCTTATACAGATAAATTCTCTAGTAGTTTAAGATTGAATAATTTAGAGACATTATTTGTCAGCCTTAAGCCTATTTTACTCGTAGCTGCATTGAACATTGTAGATCTCCTCTTAAGAGGGTCGAACATAGATTATTTGAACTTAGTCTTCTTCGTTGCCCCCTCTAGATTGATCCCCGTAGAGTAGTCTTTTTTGTCAAAGAATACATTGTCTAATAACTCCTCAGAACTAAAGACACTGCTATTATTTTCTTCCCCCTCTTACTCGTTAAGATGTTTTCTTGGTGTAGCTGCCTGTGACTACAAAAATGTCCTATGATAATGATGGCTTTTGTTGTTTATGACTGAATTGGAAAGCTAAGCACTGGAATTAAGGCTTAGTAATCTGCTCATAGTATCTTTTGGTGCAATTCTATCATGCGAGAGCTGCAAATGAACTTGATTGGGATTAGTAACACCTGAGTTGAATTTCTGTATCTCTAATTCTCCCTTTTAATATTTACCTAGTTGCTAAGCTCTCCTCAATTACTTAAGTCTTTATTTGTAATAAGTGAATCTGTACTAGGTTCTAGGATCTTGAGCTTCTTCAGGGTCAATTTGGTTTATGATAACTTAGGTCACTTTATTTTTCTCATTGTTTTTAAGTATCTCAATTTCAAGTCTTCTTTTCTCCTATTTGTAGGCATTTTCAAGCGTAGTGTTGTTGACTATACTTCGTATTTACTTCCTTATGATGCTTTTAAACTTATGGAAAAACCTCAAATCTGGAGGAAGCTAATCAAAGTCAAAATTATCATCATCAAATCTTTATCTTCTGTTCATCCTTTCAATTCCTCTAATGACATTTTCATCCTCAACTTTGTTTAATTTCTTCTTGAAGGAGCTAATCTTGTGATACTATTCAAATACTTATCTGATGGTCTTCTTTGGCTTTGGTCTGTAAGTACCATTATTCATATTACTAGTGTAATTAAAAAGCTAATTTTTTAGCTCTTCTTAACCCACCTTAGTTTTTAAAGCCAAAACAAGTCTTTTCATTGGCGGCAGCTAATTAAAATTTGGAATTTCTTGCTCAAGGATGGGCCCAAGTAGCTAATCTATTACTTCATCTTCCTTTTAATCTAAAATAGCCTGTTGATACATTTCCTTTACCTTCTTTTCAAGGATCTCATGGGTATCAATCCTAGTGCAAGCACCTACTCCTGTCACTCTGTTAAACTTCTTACTATTTAGACTTGCTGAATAAAAGTCTTCAGATTTATTCTTATTAAGATGCTGAGAGGCCTCCTTATTAAGTTATTAGTAAAATAGCGTGGAGTTTTGAAGAGAGTTCAAATTCTAATAATTTTACTTCGAGATTTTAGTCTATTCCTTGCTCTTAAAAACTTGCTTGATGTTTCCCTCAATAATAGAAAATGCAGGCAATTTATCTAGAGTTATAATTTTGTGGTCAGGGATGACACACACCTTATACTACTTAAGCATGTCATAAAGATCTTGGTTTCTTCTATCGAATTCATCTTCTAATAATACATTTCCTCCTTAAGAAGCCTATGCTTCGAGTTATTTCTCAGAAGCAGCAGCAAATGATGCATTATCAGGCGACTACTCCTAAGAATTCTTTCTGGTCTCAATCAGAGTTTTTTTCTTATCTTTGAACGACTTCATCATGGCGAGATCTTTTAGTTTCCTCTAAAGCGAATCTAATTATACTGGAGGTCTTCTTGTAAGTTTAGTATTTTAGCTGTAACCTGTGTCTCTTTCCAGATCTGAATCTTCATCGTCATCAAGTTTAAGTCTACTTATTTTATCATCTATTTGAGACAAATTATAGGCAGATCTATTTCGAAATTTGCTTTAAAAGGTTGACTGCTTAGCCATAGTCATTTTCCTAGTGATTCGTCTTTGAAGTAACTGCATTTTTTCTTAATCCTATTTCTTCTTTAGCAGTTCTACATATGATACTATTCTTTGATCATTCGAGTTAAAATGCTGAATGGCTCCATCTAATAAGGATTTGCTGTTGTTATGCTTCTTTATCTGCTCTCTTAATTTCTCATCAATTATTGGTAGCATGTTATCTGAGGTGCGATTTGAGTTCATGCCAGAGAGTTTTTTCTCATCTTCTCTATTTAATACACTATCAAGATAGCTCATTGAGTCTTCGTTACTTTCATCAGCAATTGCCCCACTTAAACGTTTGCTTTCCTGCTGCAGATGCTTTCTTAGGTTACTGCTGCTTCTAAACTCTGGTATGATGTTCTTTCTGTTGAAGCTAACACTCTTTCTTGAAGTTAAGCCTATCGAACTCTTTGTAATCTATCTGTTCATATTCCTTAGATTACCCGTTACTGGAATGATAATTGACTCTTTTTTCCTTTCAGGTGAATTTTTTTAAGTTTAAGCCTGCCCCTTATTATTCCTGCTGTCGAACTTCTTTGGTGAGGGAGGGGGTTATAGATGAGTGGATGGATTCTTATTAATTTTATTAATTGATGTTGACTAAGACTGATTCATCCTAATAGTATGTTTTTTACTGAGGAGATCTTAAATGAAAAGCTTTTCTCTGCTATCTTTTGGTTTTATTGGTAGCGGCTTCTTTGCTTCAAGTTCTGCTCTATATCTATCAGCTCTGTCATGGAATTCTAAAATCATCATTGCATTCTTATTTTTTGCTACTTATAACTTATCATAAATGTCATTTTTCAGCTTAGTTTCAGGTACCCCTATTCGAACAGTAGGCTATCTAAATAGCTAAGCAACAGGAAGTAAATTTCCATTGTTCATTATAACAATAAAACTTATATATTTTACTATTATTTTCACTAGCCTAGATAAATTTTGATATCTTAATCTGCTGCATGGGGTTTTGGGGTTTTGGGGTTTTGGGG